AAAATTAAAAAAAATAAAAAGTAGATTTTGGGGGCGCCTGGGTGGCTCAGTCAGTTGAGCATCTGACTCTTGGTTTTGGCTCAGGTCATGATCCCAGGGTTGTGGGATTGAGCCCCACATCAGGGTCCATACTCCCTTTCTCTCTCAGATAAAAATAAAAAAGAAGTAAATTTCTACTGTCTATCCATCTGTCCATCATCTGTCGTGTGTCCACATCCAGCCTGTCCATCTGCCTCTCCTTGTATCTCTGTGTCTCACCTCTTTCCAGACGGAGTCCTGTCACGGAGGCTGAGTCCTGAGCACCTTACACACGGCTCCCAACAGGTGTTTTCCTGCACAACAGCGGTGTTCTCGGTGCCCGGCAGCTCTGTGCAGTCGTGCGAACAGCTTCCCAGCTGTCGGAAGGCCCCCCCATAGCTGGCTTGTGTTCAACCCGGGGCTGGGCGGGGGCCGCGGGTGGGGAAGACGGGGGCTGGGCGGGGGGCAGCAGAGCGTCCATCTGGAGCCCCTCCCCTGCCCCCCGGCAGCACTAGCTCTTGGGGTTGCTGCAACCTGGGGTTTTCCTGAGTTTCCTTAACATTAGATTCGGGTTAGATATTTCGGGCAGGAATACTCGGTAGGTGACATGCGAACGTGATTTTAGAATCTGGCCCAGTGGCTCCTTAGGGAGAGGCGGCTGCCGCAGGCTGTGGCCCGGAGGCCAGGCCCTCACACCCTTACTCCTCCTGCAGTGTGTGCAGCGCCCGGCGGAGGCCCCGCCCCAGGCTCGGCTCGCCTGCCCCCTGCCCGCAGTTCCTCTTCCCGGCCGTCTGTCTTGCCACATCAGAGCCCTCGCCCCAGGAACTGGACACCAGGCCCTGAGCTTACTCAGGAGGCCGTGTGACGGTCACCTGTGGACCATGACCTGACCTTCCATTCTTTGCCACGGTGAATTGGGCCCATCTGGCTTGGTTCACGCAGCACGGCACCGACGAGATACGTGGATGCATTTAAAATTCTGTCTGGACCCACGTGAAACCAAATTTCCTTTAACATTTTAACTGAGCCAAAAGCCCCACAATTACCTAATTTTATAAGCGAAGGTTTACTTTTTAAGTATATTTGCCAGCTGTTTCGTGTGTTTGGGAGAGCCAGCCGGCCACAGCACTTGTTTGCCGCTTTCCATCGCGAGCCTGTATGAGCTGCCAGCCTGCATGGTCCGCTGAAACCAGCATTTTGCTTGACAGAAGGGTGCAAGTGTGCAAACAGGTGTTTCCCTGGGAGTAACGCCCTTCGGTGATGCTGGTGGTGAAGACATCTCTGTGGAGCGTCCAGACGGTCTCCCCAACACTCGCCTCGTAGGTTTTATGTGGTTTTTTTTTTTAATGTTTTATTTATTTCTAGGAGAGAGAGAGAGAGAGAGAGCGTGAGCAGGGGAGGGTCAGAGAGAGAGGGAGTCACAGACAGAAACAGGCTCCAGGCTCTGAGCTGGCAGTCAGCACAGAGCCCGACTTGGGGCTCGAACCCACGAACCGCGAGATCATGACCTAAGCGAAAGTCGGACACTTAACTGACTAAGCCACCCAGGCGCCCCCAGGTTTTATGTGGTTTTGTCTGTGTTTCACTTCAAAGCGCTCTCAGAAGGTGGATCTTTACATGCAGTAGACTTTATAAAACCCAGATTCCCGCTTTCTGTGCACTTCTCTTATTCGAGAATCGTCGAGTTGCCTGCGCTCGAGAAGGAGGCTGTCTCTGCCATCAGACCCTCCGCCCCGTCTTTTCAGGTCTTAGATAACAGTGTGCAAAGAACTAGAGCTTTATTTGGTTTCAAAAACGTCTGTGATGTTCTCCTGGTTTACTTTATAAAACTGCTTTTCTAAGCACCAGACTCATTGTTGACATTAGTTAAAAAAAAAATGTTTTTAATGTTTGTTTATTTTTGAGAGAGAGAGAATGTGAGCAGGGAAGGGACAGAGAGAGAGGGAGACGCAGAATCGGAAGCAACTCCAGGCTCCGAGCTGTCAGCACAGAGCCCGACGCGGGGCTTGAACCCACATACCAGGAGATCATGACCTGAGCCACAGTCAGAGCTCGGCCACCTGAGCCCCCGGCGCCCCGTCGGTTTTCCTGATGTTTGGCCCTCACACCCGTTGGCGGGTAGCAACAGGTCCTGCACAGACACTGCTTGTAAAGCCTCAGCCGGCGGGTCTGCCTTCAGCAAACGATAAACAGGTACAAAACCAACATCAGAGTTTTTTGTCCTTCTTGCCAAATTTAAAAGCTAATATGGAGGTTTTTTTGGAATTTGTACTCATCAGCTGATAGAGCCAAGCTGTGAAGTCTCATTCCTTGTTACAGAAATAGAAATCACCGCAGGGAGAGATCATCAGGAGTCCGTGTGATACAAGTCAGCACACGGTCCCCTTGAAAGAAGGGTCTGTCTTGTGAGCGCAGCCCAGCGGCCCCAGGACCTGGGCGTGGGACTCCCATGCCGCTGTGGACAGGTGTGCCGCGGTTCACCCGCAGGAGGCAGACACACAGAAGCCGCCCCTGTGTGTCCGGCCTTTTCTCCTTTTCAGTTCTTCAGGTGTTAACAGATGACTTCTGTGGGCTGAGGACAGGACGCCATGTTTCAGTGATAATGGGAACCCATTCGTTCTTCCTGAGCAGGAGCTGAGTTCACACGATGCTGATCACTTTGGCCAGTGGGTTCATTGCAGTGGCAGACACGGTGAACGGGTTGTCTGGAAGGCCACACGAGCACACTAACTGGGTCAGCAGGGGTGGGGGGTCCCAGGCACTGGCACTCAGCTCTGGGTTGGTCAGTGCAAACTGAGCAAACCCGTGGCTGACTGCCCCTCCCCTGTCATAGCTGCATGCCTGGGGAGTGGGACTGTGCAGTGACAGGCAGCCAGACCATGGGAGGTCCGGCCTGACGGAGGCTCCCTCCCAGGGGTGTCGTCCAGATGTGCGTGCGCTTCCCACCCGGCCACCAGGGTCATCACAGCAGCCTGCGCTCCTGATGACAGAGTGAGTGTTGGAGCCGGGGCCTGGCTCACCGTCTTGTGCTGTGATTGGCCTGGGGTGTCACAGAGGCTCCCGAGACCTCGGCTGGTGGCCGGCTGCCCACTCCCGGAGCCGCTCTCCGCAGCTGGTCCTGACAGCCCCTGGCATGCGGGCGGCTGGGGCTGCTCCAGACTCTGCCAGATGATGCTGAGCACTGGGTTTCATGGTGTCTTCGTGACTGGCTTGTTTACTCAGCCACGTGTACCAGTGAGTGACACTTGTGCTTGCGAGTGAGACTTGTGCTTGCAGCTTCTCCTGTGGTTGGTAGAAAACCAGACCGATGAGAATCCTCATGTATTTTCCTATCACTTTCCATGTGGAAGCGTTCTTGTTTTCTGTAGAACGATGTTTCTAATGCTGTTCCCGCAGTTCACGTGATGTCAGCGTGCCGGGAGGTAGGGTGCAGCTCCGGAGCCACCGCTCTGGCTGGCGGCCCGCCGCTTCCTGGCGCTGTGCTGGCCTTGACACCAGGGACTGACGCTTCCGGAGTTTGGTTTGCGGGTCGGTGCCGTGAGGTCCACCGGGCGCTCAGTACGGCCCTGGCGTTGACCGCGTACAGCAAGCCACCGGCTGGTGTGTATGAGCTGGGTCCCTGGGGAGCCCGGGAACGCCCTCCAGGACCAGCACCCAGCCCGCAGAGGCGCAGCGGGGAAGACACGGGGCAGCCGTGGACAGTTTGGCCGCCAGGACGGGAGGGCCACCTGGCGGCAGCGAACAGAAAGGCTAGTGTGCCGGGCGGGGGAGGGGGCCACTGCACACGAGGAAGGCCGCATCGTGTGGGTGCATCGTGAGGGTGACACACTGACATGGGAGGGAGGGAGCAGGATATCCAGGGGGCGGCAGAGCTGTGGGGCAGACCCAGAGTTGGGGGCCCTGGGCAGAGGCCAGGCACTCCTGCTTCTAGAAGTTACATACTGTTGTAAAGGTAAAATAAAATCTTTTAAATTGGCTACTTTGAGAACCTTTGGAATTGGCCCAAGCGCCAATGATTTTTAAAAAATACATGATTGTGTGACCGTGATATAAAATCATTCCGGTTTCTTTCTTTACCAGTTTCAAGTGCACAGGTCGTGGGCAGGAAGCACACACACCCTGTCGTGCAGCTGTCCCCACCACCTGTCTCCGGAACGTTCCATCTCCCGCAGTGGTGCCCACATTCCCCCTTCCTGTCTCCGTGAAGCGGGTGTCTCCGGATACCTCATAGAAGTGGGATCACAGCGCACGTCCTTCCTGCGATGGCTCGTGTCACTAGGTGTGCTGGTGGCCCAGCCGGCAGTGAGACCCTTCAGCGTGTGGGCTCCTCCCGCCCCAGGAGCGGTGTGCCGGACGGGACAGCCAGCAGGGGTTAGGACCCGTCCCTGGAGCCTCTGGGGCCGAACGCCGCCAGCCCGCGCACCCTGCTGCCGTGTCCCCGGTGTCAAGGACAGACCCCGGCACTGAGCTGCCAGGCCGGCATGCCCGGTCGTCACAGGGCTCCCTGCCCCCGGTAGCACTGAGGACCTGTGTCCCTTCAAGGGTAAATCTCACCAGTGAAACGTATTTCGTTATCAAACACTCAGACGTCTAGGGCCACAGGGCAGCCATTTGGCTCAAGCTTCTGGGGGAATCAGAAGCACAGGGAGCCGTCCCAGCAGCAGAGTTCGCTGGCGTGAGTGACCGGCTGCTTCCTGGACGGATGGTGGCGCTGGATGTGGCCCGCGCCGTCTACCTCATCTTGTCCATGCTCAGCTGCCCGTCTGGACAGGTGGCCTCGGTCCCCAGAGCTCAACACCACCACACCGTGGCGGCCCAGCCCCCAGACGCTCCCAGGACAAAACCGCAGGACAGATGAAGAGGTAAGTCAGCTCTCAGTGACGGGCAGTTTTCGGAAGCTGTGTAGAGAGGTTTGGAAATTGAAATGTTCGTGTCTGTTTTTGACTGGCCAACTGGTGACTGAAGAGATCGTCTGCAAAGTAGTCCTGTCTATCTGGAGGTCACCAGCCTGCGCAGGTCCAAAGGCAGGGAGGTGACCCTACGTGCACCCCTTTCCTGTCTCTCCAGTCCCTCCGGGCTTGGCTACTCGGCCTCTGCTCCTTCCCCCTGCGGCTTCGTCTCTGTACATTCTGCTCGGTGCTCTGCCCTACTGGCATTTGTGGTCTTTTTTAAGCCTGGGAGCAGAGGGGAGGGAGGGATGAAGGGGCACAGAGGCTTCAGGGGCTCATGAGGATTTTTTGCTGCTTGGACAGAAGAGATGCAGTTAGCTTTTCCTTTCAGGAACAGTTCCTTGTTGTGGCCCCATTGTTCAGAATACATACCAATTGCAGAGGTGAGTCCAGTGGGGACGGTCGCTCACGCCTGGAGCACTCAGGGCAGGGAGGGCGGGGGGCGCGCACACTGGTCGGGGTTCAGACAACCCACCACAGACACACGCACCGCCTCCCGTACGAGGAGCGCGGGCCCCGTCACAGGGAGACCTGGAGAGAGCCGGGCTGCGGCTCTGCAAGTGCAGACAGGGCTGGGCACCGAGTGCGCCTACTGAGGAAATAGAAGCTGGGTGGTTAGGGTGGTGGAGGAGCTGGAATAACGTTGAGATTGTCCTTCTGGTCTCTTATTGAGCAAAGCGAAGACTGCACCGGGTTTAAGTGACTTATCGCAGGTCCTGTGCATAGTTGGAGGAAAAGCTGGGTTTAAACCTACACATCGGGGCACCCGGGTGGCTCAGTGCGTTAAGCCTCTGACATCTCAGGTCATGATCTTGTGGTTCGGGAGTTCAAGCCCAGCATCGGGCTCTGTGCTGACAGATTCCAAGTCTCCCTCTCTCTCTGCCCCTCCCCCACTCACACTCTATCTCTCCCTCAAAAATAAACATTAATTAATTAAACCGAATGGCACCGTGGTTAGGGTGTGAACCTGAATACCACTCTCCCTCCAGTGCCTCTCGGGGTTTATAGCAACCCTCTTCTTAAAAAAAAATTAAAAAATTTTTATTTTCTAAATTTTATTTTGAGATAGAGAGGGAGCGAGCACTAGTAGGGGGAGGGGCAGGTAGAGAGGGCATCCCAAGCAGGCTCTGCACTGTCAATGCAGAGCCCAAGGCGGGGCTCGAACTCTCAAAACAGTGAGACGATGACCTGAGCCGAAACCGGAAGCTTAACTGAGCTGCCAGATCCCCCAGGAGCTTATTTTCTTGTCAGCAGCCGAGGGAGCTGGGCAAGCCCTCAAAAACACTGCGCAGCTGGAGAGGTTTATGTGCCATCCCATATGTTTAAAGATTTTTAAAACACCTGCACGCTACATTTGTGATCCTCTAAACAAAGCTAAAAGATGTCCTCTGAAGAGATGCGTGTGTGACACAACTGTATTTACCGGCTTTGCGATGCTGCAGTGGAGTCTCTCTTGTTAAGAGTTCAACGTGAGAGCACGTGCATTAGCAGTCGTGTGGGGCTTTAGGTTCTAAGGTTTGTTTCTCGAAGGCGTTGAAGCATGACCATGTCCCCACGTCCTCAGCGATCCCGTCGGTCGGGTCTCTTTTTTGTATGGAGACACATATTTCCAACACGTTGATTTTTATCAAAGATTTTCTGGGCTTTAAAGAACTTAATACTTCCAAATGTTTGGGGTGTTCCTGATAAAACAGTCTTTGTTGGATTTCAGTTTGCCTGACGGCTTGATCTATAGTCTGCATGAGGATCCCACGCGCTGAGGCTGGGGTGGTGCTCCCGGCAGGTGGCGGCACAGGGTCTGGAGGGTTGGGCGTCCTGTGCTGACAGTGTGGAGCCTTGTTTGGCATTCTCTCTCCTCCCCTCTCTGCTCCTCCCGAACTCGTTCTCTGCCTCTCCCTTGCTAATGCTCTCCTGGTGCCAGAGCGTCATCTGCTGGCCGTGTTGTCTCCCGAGCCAGCAGTGTGATTCACATCTCTCCCTGGTGCCCGGTCGACCCACCGCTGTTCCACATAAGTGAACGTGAAAACGGGCAGTGGCCACAAACCTCGCCGCGTGAAGGACGGGAAACCCTGTGGGCGGGAGCCCCCCAGGGAGAGGTGTCCTGAGCCAGCCTGGCCTTCGGTTCCTGGGAGTCAGGGCCCCACACACAAGGTGGCTCCGGAACAGTCCCCTCCGTGAGGCTGCTCGCATCCCACTGGTGGCTCGCCCTCCCGTCCTCCGGGAAGCAAGAGCTGTCAGCTGGTTCGACCATCGGCCTCGCTGCCACGCAGGCAGTGGCAGGGCCCGTGGTGGTGGTGGTGCCCCAGTGTGGACATTGAGCGCCACCAGGCTCCGGCCGGGCCCCAGGCGGCCCAACAGAGGAGCAGGTCCCAGAGCAGAGCGAGAACACGCGAGGCTCACAGGCCCGTCAGGGGGACGTGTGCAGCACGCTGGGAGGCATGAGCGCCTCGGTGTGGGGAATGTTGGTCTGTCTCTAAGCGGTCCGCCCGTCCATCCACGTTGAGCTGGAGACGTCCAGTCTGAGTGCTTCCCGCGCCCGTCACGAACCCCTCGTGGGCAGCCATGCGGCAGTGTGTTTGGAAGGAACAAGCAGAGCGACCAGAGCACAAAGAACCACAGCTCGATCTGCTCTTTAAACGGTGGTTTTAACTTTAGCACACGAACTGTGGACACACGCACACGAGCAGCGGGTTGGCGCTCTGGAAGCGCGCCGTTACCACCATAAGGGGGCACGGGGATGCTGGGCGTGCCTCGCCCCTGACTGCTGACCGACGGGGACGCATGTGTGGTCGGGTCCAGGCCGGCGCCACGTGCCCAGAGGCACACATGTGTGGACAGCGCCAGGAACAGCCCACGGAGGTCACACGCCAGCCCCTGGGCAACCTTTGGATGCAGGACTGCGGGCACCAGAAGGCCATGAGGACACAACTGGCTCCAGGCTAAACCCCCGACGCCCCCCCGCCAGTTCTGGGTCGTGGGAACAGTCCTACGAAGCCTGCTTCCTGAGAGCACCGCGCCCAGAGGGCACTGAGCGTCCTCCACAGTCCCGGCTGGCCCGGGGCCAGGCCGCTGCTGGACACATGCCCTCCCCACCGCTGCTTCGTTGAAAATCCGAGATCTGTTCTTCGTCCACATACCCAGTGGCCAGTGCTCAGGGTTCTCCCAGAAAGGAGGTGGCACCAGGGGGAAGGGGCTGCTCTGTGGCGGGCTCGGCTCGGCTCAGCTGTCCGCTGAGTCCGTCTAGGCCTCCTTCTGCCTTCGTTCTTCCTGTGGAGGGAGAGGCGGGGGGAGAAGATGCAGGGAGGAGGCAGATGAGGAAACAGAGGGCGGACATGGGGGAGGAGGGGAGAGAAGAAATGGAGGAAGAGGCAGAGAGAGAAGGTGGTGAAGGTAGATGAGCTGGAGGGAGGAGGAGGAGGAGGGGGAGGAGGTGGGGGAGGGGGAGGGAGGGGGGGGAGGGGGGGGGGGGGGGGGGAGGGGGGGGGGGGGGGGGGGGGAGAATGTGTTGAGACTCTCCTGCCTGGGGCCATTCTCTGTCTCTCCTGAGCTTCACCATTTCCCCCAGTTATGANGGTGGGGGAGGGGAGAATGTGGAGGGAGGAGGTGGGGGAAGGTAAGAGAAGAAAAGGTGAAACGGGCAGAGCGCGGAGGTGGAGGTGGCAGCGGGGTGGGGGGATGGGGAGGCCACAGGCGCCCCTCCCCCCCACGCCCTGTGCCGCACAGGCCGTCAGGACGCCCCGCGGCGCTCACCTGGACCGCCCGCTCCAGCTGGGACAAGGCCGCCTCGTAGCGCGGGAGCAGCGGGCGCAGGAGCTCCCCAGGGACGTCGTGCCGCGCCGGCTCGGGCGCCCCCGCCGCGGCCAGCATCCGCAGGAACCTCCTCTCCTGGCGGCAGACGCGGGTGGAGAGGCCCCGGCCTCGCTGAGACGGGCTGCCAGCTGCGCCCCTGCCGCTGCCCCCCACCCCCCCAGCCCTGCACACCCACCTGCACTTTGAGGAGCAGCGTGAAGGCCTGTCCGGTTCTTCCGGCGCGCGCAGTTCTCCCGACCCTGAAACCGAGCACGACCACCTCGAGAGCCGGCCCCCGGGGGGGCACCTCCCGCCAGAGCCACGGGACAGGCCTCACCGGTGCACGTAGGTGCGCAGGTACTGGGGGGCGTCGTAGTTGACCACCAGCTGCACGCCCTGCACGTCGATGCCCCGAGCCGTGGCGTCCGTGCTGATGAGGCTGGAATGGGGAGGGGCTGCAGACCCTGCCCGCGGCCAGGCCGCCCACCCCCCTCCGGCCTGGCCCTGCTGGGGACGCCGCCAGACTCAGGAGGCGGGTTTCCGCAAGGGGTGCCCCTCAGGGGCCCAGGCCCAGAGCCCTGCAGCCCCGCTTCCCGTACTCACAGCTGAATCTTGCCCTGCTCAAACCGCTTCAGCACCCCCTTCCTCTGGCCGGGCCCGCAGCGGGAGGAGAACTCGGCCGCCGCCACGCCCCCGACAGCCTGGACCAGCAGGAAGAGCCTGCGGGGGGCGGGGGGCAGGGGGGCTGGAGGGAGCCGCCTCCCCGCTGCACGGCCCCCGCCCCCACCCCACCCCCGCCGGAGCCCCGCCTCCCTGCTGCACGGCCCCCTGCCCCGCCCGGCCTCACCTGTGAGAGTTCTCACGGGAGTTAGTAAAGCAGAGGACCCTGGAAAACCTCATTTCCAGGATCAGGTGCAGGATGACCAGTGGCTTCATGCGGAGGCTGCAGGGGACGTAGTGGTGCTGCGGCAACAGCACACGGTTGGCCCGGCCCCAAGCGCCACAGTGCGCCCCCCCCCCCCCCCGCTCAGTCCTGTGCGCCCTGCTCACCGAGAGCCCCTCAGGGAAGGCATACTTCCCGCCCGAGTCCCCGGCCGCGTCCGCATCTCGGGGACCCCCGTGTGCCAGCCCCGCGGAGAAGAGGCAGGGCTGGTGGAGGCCCAGCTGCTGCAGCTTCTCGGGGTTCTGTGTCAGGGTGGCCGAGAAGAGCAGCTTCTGCAGCGGCAGCTGAGGACAGCAGGTGCTGGAAGGGAAGCGGGCAGTGGGCCAGCAGCCCTGGCGGGGGCAGCACACCTCAAAGCCCCGGCCGCCCCAGAACACGCCACACCAGGGCAAAGTGGGTCTCAGAGATGGGGACCACGGCAGGGAGACCACACGCAGGCGGCCCCACCAGGCGTGGGGCAGAGCTCAGTGCCGTGTACCTGGCGGCGGTGGTGGCCCGGAGCTGCCTCCTCTGGAGCAGGGCACAGGGGTCCTCGGCGCCATCCCTCGGGAAGGCCGCCTCCACCACCCGGGGCAGCCAGGACTGGTGCATGCTGTCGATCATGCGGTCGGCCTCGTCGATGATCTAGGAGAAGCGGGAGGCCTGAAGCGCGGGGGCTGAGGTCAGCCTGGCTCCGGGCCGCGCCTCCCTGCAGGCGAGCCACGTACCAGGAAGCGGAGATGCTGGAGGCTGAAACCCGGGGTCTGGTCGATGTGGTCCACCAGGCGGCCAGGCGTGGCCACCACCACGTCAGCCACGCAGCGGAAGCCGTCTGCCCTGGGGAGCAGAGAGCGGCTCGGCAGAGGCCCCCATGCCGCCCTCCCCACACAGCGGGGGGCCCGCCGGCAGCAAGGCACTCTGTTCTCGCGGGAGCCGGGTGGTTACGATGTGGCTGCTCCGTGCTCCCCGAGGGCCCCACAACCCAGCAAGACCTACGTCTTCTGAACGAGACTCTCCTGCTCCTTGACCAGTGACTTCTGCCCGGTGATCAGGGCGACCCGCAGAGGAGTGGCATCCGTGTAGATGTTGAACACTTTGCTCACCTAAAAAAGGAGTGGCCCTCACCAGCCTGGTAGGGAGCACCTGGAGGTGAGGATCCCGAGACTGCCTTCACGGCCTGGAGCGCACGTACCTGCTGGGCCAGCTCCTTGGTGGGCAGCACGACCAAGGCTCGGACCTGGCACACAGCTCGACACAGCAGGGCCTGTGGGGTGGGGACGGCCACCGGTGTCAGCAGGGCCGGCGCCCTATCTGCTGAGCCCTGCCCCACCACCGAGGGCAGGGACTTCACACTCACCTGTACCACGGGAATGACGAAAGCCAGAGTCTTCCCGCTGCCCGTTGGGGCAGAAACACAAAGGTCACTGGGCCGGTAGCCACCTCTGGCCACCAGAAACCCGCTGGCTGTGCTCTCCAGGAGAGCAGGAATCACCGCGGCCTGGACTAGACGAGGAAGAATGACAGGATGTGTCTCTGCGGGAACATCCAGAATCGGCACAGGCACCAAACCCAAAGGAGCCTTGTCCCCCGTCTGTGACTTCCAGGCCAGGCTGCTCTCACTCAGGACGATGCCAGAGCCTCTAGGGACCACCAGGCCCAGGCGCCCAAAGATACCAAATCCCAGACCGCGCCTGACACTGGACCCGCCTAGGGGGCCGCGTGGACGGCTGTCGCAATGTGGCCTTGCCGCTACGGCTCTGCGTGACTCTGCCCAATGCTCCTGAAGGTGCCTCCCGCCCCCCGAGCACCTGGGAAGTAGGACGAGATGCCCTGTGCCTGCAGCCTCTTCCGCATGTCAGGGTGGACGGCAGGGATGTCATCGATGGGCACCAAGTCTTCAGTGACACTCTTTCCGACACAGCTTGGCTTAGCCAACCACGAGGGCAGGAAAGGCTGGACCTACCGAAAAGAGAAAGGAGTTGGGGCGCCTGGGTGGCTCAATCGGTTAAGCGTCCGACTTTCGCTTAGGTCATGATCTCGCGGTTCGTGGGTTCGGGCCCCGCGTCGGGCTCTGTGCTGACTGCCAGCTCAGAGCCTGGAGCCTGTTTCAGAGTCTGTGTCTCCCTCTCTCTCTGACCCTCCCCTGCTCACGCTCTCTCTCTCTCTCTCAAAAATAAATAAAACATTTTTAAAAAATGAGTGCAAGAAATTAAAAAAAAAAAAAGAGAGAGAGAGAAAGGAACCAAGTGAACCCTCCAGAGCCCGTGGAATTAGGAGAGCACGACCAGTGGACTCGGGTCACTGACACCCAGAGGCCACAGCAAGGCAGGCCGCACAAGCCTTCTAACCAGCCTCCTGGCATCTCCCACCCCCCATGACCCACCTTCCAGACAATCTTTAAGGGAATTAAGAAACACACACCAGAAAGCAGCTCTCCCCTGAACTAAGCCCCTTGGGGACCTTCCTCTCACACCGGTGGGAATGTCACATCCTGGGCCCCGCACTCACCTGCCCCAATTTCCTATCACTGGCTGTACCCTAACCACACAACCCTCTCTTTACACACCACAGCTCACTACTGTCTCAGGGCCTTTGCCCCAACCCTGCTCTGTGCCCCGGGCTCACCTCCCTGGTCCATCTTGCCCAAGATGATCCCTGTCTTCTGATTCCAGGTCAAGGGGGACCTACTCCATGCAGTCAGTGACACAGACGCGCCCCAGGCAGCCCGCAAGCCTACTGTTTCCTTCCTGGCAATCCCTCACCCGAGAGCTCTGTAACTTCCTACCTGCTTACTGAGAACCTGCACTGAAACAGACTCCTCAGATACGCCCCCCAACCACGGGAAAAGGTTTTAGAACCACCACCACCACCACCCCCCCGTTCTAAACCCATTTAGAACGCTTATCTGCAATTTTTAAACGTTTTTACGATTAAAGGCAAAAATCCTGAGCTGGCACGTAATTCAAGTTACCACGAAAAAACCGCCAGACAGACGGCGTTCAAAGCCGTTCGCCTCCTGACCGGCACGGCCCCCGGAGCTACCCCGCGAACACGCGCTGGGCCCGCGACAGCCGCGCGCACCCGCTTCCCGGGTGAAGCAAAGTCGCGGAAGACTTCCCGTCGCGCCCCGGGCCGCTCACCTTCGGCGCCCTGCTTCTCTCATAGCCCCCGAGCAGCAGGGCGTGGGCTGGAGGCCCCGAGGCCTCTTCGGGGGGCCGTTCTCCTGAGTCCCCGGGCGGCCCCGCGGCCGGGGCGCCGGCGCTCCTCTCCCCCGGAGCCTCCTCGCTGCTCCCTGCGCGGCAGAAGCGGGCGCGGGCGGCGCATGAGCGACACCGCCCGCCCCGCCGCGGACCCGGGTCCCGCCCGGCCCGGCCCCACCTGCGCCCGCGTCCTCGCCGTCCGATTTCCGCCGCTTGCCCCGCGGCGCGTGCGGGCTCCCCCACGCCCCGCCGCACTCGCGCCTCCGCGGTCTGCGCGGCCGCCGCCGCCGCCGCCCCGCCGCCTCCGAAGTCTGCGCGGGCTCCCGCTGCGGCGGCTGCTTTTGCCGCTGCCGCTCTCGGGCCCGGCACTGCAGCCGCTCCAGCAGCGCGCGCGCCCGGCCGTCCGCGCCGGCCTCCGCCCCGGCCGCCTCGGGGCCCGCGTACCGCGCGACGTGGAAGAGCGCCATGCCGGCCGGCCGCAAGCTTCTCGGCCAGACGCGCGGCGATGACGTCGCGTGGGCGGGGCGGCGGGGGAGTGCGGGAGGCCTGGGCGCGCGGCGATGACGTCGCGTGGGCGGGGCGGCGGGGGAGTGCGGGAGGCCTGGGCGCGCGGCGATGACGTCAGGGGCGCGCCGGGCGGAGGCTTGAGAGTCGGTGCGTTCCGCGTGGGGCGGCGGCGGCATGGAGCGGGACCTAGGCCCCGGGGGCGCGCGCCGGGCGCTGGGCCGCCTGCTGGAGGCGGTGCTGGCCAGCCGCGCCGAGGCCAACGCCGTGTTCGACATACTGGCCGTGCTGCAGGTGGGGGCGCGCGGGGCGGGTCCCGGGGTCGGAGGCCGGGAAGGGGGCGCGCACGCGGGCCGACAGCGGCGTAGCGGGATCCGGGCTTTCCCGGGCGTCTGCACCCGTCTCGAAGGGCTCCCAGGTCGGGGGAGGGGGTTCAGGTGGGACGGTGACATCGAGGCCGTGAGTGGGGAGGAAGGGGACTCCTGCGACCACCCTGTCCCTGCAGTCTGAGGACCCAGAGGAGACCCAGGAAGCGGTGCGCGCCTGCAGCCGTCTATTCGGGGCCTTGCTGGAGCGGGGAGAGCTGTTCGTGGGCCAGCTGCCCCCTGAGGACATGGTCATGGCAGGTGAGCGTCCCACAGCGCGCCGGGTCCAGGGTCTCCCTTCTGGAAAAGTTGGAGGGACACTTTGTCAACAGGGAATGAGCCCCCCAGCGGCCCCCTGTGGGTTGGGTCGATTGCGCTTAGGGTTGGGGTGAAGAAAAACGCTCTTGTACGTAATTGTTTTGGAGCAAAGATTGACCATGCTGCAGTTTTTCAGGGTGGTTTTTTTTTTTTTTTTTTTAAGTTTGTCTGTTTTGAAAGAGACAGGATGACTGAGGGAGGAACAGAGAGAGAGAGGGAGAGAGAATCCCAAACGGGTCTGTGCTGCCAACGCAGGGCCCAACCCGGGGCTTGAACTCACAAAAACGCGAGATCATGACCTGAGCTGCAGTCAGGAGTCAGATGCTCAATCGCCTGAGCCACCCAGGTGTCTCTGTTGTTTTGTGTGGAATCACTTGTGGCATCTGATCCTGTTTCACGTGGGCGGTTGGGGCTAGTGCTCCCCCCGCTGGTTGTAGGGTCTTGGGGTAAAGTGAGGAGAATAGGGGCCTGTCCTTGGGGTAGGAGTGTTTTCCCACCGCCGTCAGGTCTGGGGTCACGGTGACTTGCTTCCGCTCACTTCCCAGGTGGGGCTGAGTAGAGAAAACCTGGGGGAGGGAGTGGCCGAGTACAGCTTGGTGCCTGTGGTCTGACCCTCCCGCTCCACCCCAGGGTCCCAGGGGGCCACGCGGAAGTACAAGGTGTGGATGAGACACCGCTACCACAGCTGCTGTAACCGCCTGCAGGAGCTTCTGGCTCACCCCTCTTTTGAGGTCAAGGTGAGTCAGGCTGCTGGCTTTGCCTCTGCCTCGAGCATCCCCTGCACCCCCAGCCTCTGGGCCGTGTACACTCAGGCAGGGCCGAGGCCGCAGGCTGCTGCGGTTCCACGCTCACCTGAGGACATCGGACTTTTTCTCTGCTGGGCTTTTTGGCGGCTGGTTTTGTTCTGTGTCCTGACACGTAGGCGACTGTTTTCTTAGTGCATTTGAACTTCAGTGCTGGGGGGTGACCTGTGGTCGGGGCACCTCGGCCACTTGCCCGCCCGCCTTCCCCAGGAGCTGGCTCTCAGCACGCTCATGAAGTTCGTGCAGCTGGAAGGAACGCATCCCCTGGAGAAACCCAAGTGGGAGGGCAACTACCTGTTCCCCCGCCAGCTCTTCAAGGTGGGGCGCGCTGGGGGGGCTCCCGAAAACCTGGGCAGAGCTGGGATGGGCCCTCGGTGCAGGTGGCTACTGAGCGTGATGCTTCTGCCACGCCCTCACCTGGGGGAGGGGGGCTGGAGGGCGTGGCGGGGCCCCCGGGCTCACCCGCCTGCCCGCCACACAGTCGGTGGTGCAAGGCCTGCTGTCCCCGGCGGAGGACCGCTCGCTGCTGGTGTGTCACTTCCAGGAGCACCTGCAGCACGATGACATCCGCTACCACACGATGCTGGCGGCCACGGACGTCGTGGGCAGAGTGGCTGACGGGCACCATGAGGTGAGCTGGGCCCCGTGTCTGGGGGAGGGCCGGGGAGGGCCGCGCCTGAGCTCACGCCGGGCTTTTGGCAGGTGCCCCTCGCTTTCTGGAACAACGCCTTCGCGCTGCTGTCTGCTGTGAGCCTCCCTCGTGAAGAGACTGGCTCCTCCAGCTTCTACGTGAAGCACGCTGGTGAGCGTCCCCGGCGGGGGGCGGGGGGACACCCAGTGGGGGGGGGAGACCCTGTGAGCTGCCTCCTCTCTCCGCACATCCTCTGACCCCTGCCTGCCTTGCAGAGCTGTCGCACAAGTGGAAGGTCACTCATCTGAAGGTGAGATGCTGTGGAGGGCTCGGTGGCCTCCCTGGGGACAGGGCTCCCTTCAGATGCAGGTGGCATGTGCGGGGCTTGAAGAATTTTCCCGGTCCAGACAGCCTCGAGCGTCCCTCACGGGGGTAGGGGTGGGGGGGGGGGGTGGGAAGGGGCCGGGGACCTGGCTCCAGGCTCTCTCGGCCCCCGGGCGCGAGCATTGTTGCCACGTGTGCTCTGGGTGTGCTGCTTGCCCGCTCTCTGCGGCCGTGTTCCAGGCTGCGTGTTTCTTCTTGCTTTGCCGGAACTTCTCCGGTTCAGCGTTTTTAGGGCTTCTGCAGGGCAGGAGGGAGGCAGTGCTGTGCACCCTTGACCCCACCCTGCCCCCCTCCCCCCCGCAGGAGCACAGAAAGGCCTTCCAGCTGATGTGGCTCGGCTTCCTCAAGCACAAGGTACGGGCGGGGGCGGAAAGCCGGCACCCCAGGTCTGGGCCGCTCTGGCCCATGTGCTTCCTGGGGTGGGTGGGGGCGGCGCACCCACCGCCGTCACACCCCTTCCAGCTGCCCCTCGGCCTGTACAAGAAGGTGCTGGTGATCATGCACGACTCCATCCTGCCCCACCTGGCCCAGCCCAGCCTCATGATCGACTTCCTTACCCGGGCCTACGACGTGGGTGAGCGCGGGGCTCCTGGAACTGCAGCTGGAGGAGCGTCCTCGGGCCTGGCCGGTCGGGGGCGTGTGTGTCAGAGCCCGATTCCCCTCCCAGGCGGGACTGAGCCCGGCGGCGGGGCTGGGGGCGCCGGGGGCGGCGGGGGCGGGGCCTCTCAGCTGCACGTTCGTCTGCAGGCGGCGCCATCAGCCTGTTGGCTTTGAACGGACTTTTTATCTTGATTCACAAGCACAACCTGTGAGTGTCGGCCTGGGCCGCCCGCCTGGGCCGGGGGTCTGCTGGGCTGCCCCGGGGGGGGGGGGGGGGGGGGGGGGGGGGGGGCCGGGGGGGGGGGGGGGGGGGGGGGGGGGGGGGGGGGGGGGGGGGGGGGGGGGGGGCCGGGGGGGGGGGGGGGGGCGGGGGCGTGACGGAGCCGCAGACCGTCTTTGCATTCTGGGTCCCCCGCCCCCGCCCCCCTGGCTTGCGGGCCGCTCCTCGCCTGTCCCCGCGTCCAGCGAGTACCCGGACTTCTATCGGAAGCTCTATGCTCTCCTGGACCCGTCTGTCTTCCACGTCAAGTACCGGGCGCGCTTCTTCCACCTGGCCGACCTCTTCCTGTCGTCCTCGTGAGTGGGGGGGGGGGCTCAGAGGGGCTCAGACCCGAAGTGGGGGGCGGGGGGGCGGGGCGCCCCTCACAACCCCCCCCCTTCCCGCCCAGCCATCTGCCTGCCTACCTGGTGGCTGCTTTCGCCAAGCGCTTGTCCCGCCTGGCGCTGACGGCGCCGCCCGAGGCCCTGCTCATGGTGCTGCCTTTCATCTGCAACCTGCTGCGCAGACACCCAGCCTGCGGCGTCCTGGTGCACCGCCCGCGGGGCCCTGGTGAGCACGGGGCGGGGGGGCCTGGGGGGGCGGGGGGGCGGGGCTGCCTCCAGCAGCACAGGTTGTGAGCAGGACCCGGCTCCGGTTGCTAGAGCTGGATGCTGACCCCTACGACCCCGAGGAGGAGGACCCGGCCAGGAGCCGCGCCCTGGAGAGCTCGCTGTGGGAGCTGCAGGTGAGCCCGCTGCGCCTCCCCTCTCCCCCGGGGGCCGCCGTGCTCCCACCCCGTGCCCCGGGAGGGGGCGGTGACGTCCTGTGTGCCTCTCCAGACCCTCCAGCGGCATTACCACCCCGCGGTGTCGCAGGCCGCCAGCGTCATCAACCAGGCGCTGTCGGTGCCCGAGGTCAGTGTCGCGCCGCTGCTGGAGCTCACGGCGTTCGAGGTGAGAGCGGGGCTGAGGCGGGGCTGGGCGGGGCGGGGCGGGGCCGTGTGCTGTGGGAGCACCCGCCGTCCCTCGTCCCTTGCAGGTGTTTGAGCAGGACCTGAAGAAGAAGAAGGGCCAGGAGTCAGTGCCTCTGGAGTTCCTCCCCGCGCAAGGGCTGCTGGGCCGGCCCAGTGACCTCTGCGCCCAGCACTTCACGCTCAGCTGACCCTGAGCGTCTGCCCCCCGAGAGGCAGTTACAGGCGGAGCCGCTTCACTGCCAGCGTCCCGCGCTGCGTTTCCGCCCCCGACGAGCCTGGCTCTCCTGCGACCACGCGTCCCGGTGTCGTAAAAACCTCGTTTAGGGAGAGAGTCACGTGACTGACGTCAGCTCACGTGGGTTTGGGGGGGAGCCATGGAGGCAGCTGGTTGTGCAGCCTCGCATCTGAGCCCCGGCACCCCCATGCCCGCTCTCAGCCTCGCTCCTCCCACTCCCACAGGAGGGAGGGCCCCGGAGTCACCGCGGGCAGTGGTTTGCCCAGCCTGGTCTCCAGGGCGCTGCTCCGCTGGCCCGGGACGGTCGCGTGCCTACTGGGACTTCGGGCCGGTGGTGCAGCAGTGCCTCTTCTCTCCAGAAACCTGTGTGATTTTTAGGGACGCTAGGGCCCCATCTCAAGTCGGTTTCTGCCCCTGGGCCTTTGCACTGCCTTCTCAAGGGCTTATCCTCTCTGCTCGTCTTCAGACCCCAAGCTGTGGGAGGGCCTGTGGACGGCATCCTGTCTGTGCAGTTGTGTGCACACGCGAACGTGGCAAGTTCGTGACCCCGCTGCCCCCCCGTCCCAGGGACCGAGGGGAGCTCATCGCTTACCTGGTCCCTGTCTGGTCCCCGGGGCCCAGGACTTGCCCGGCACAGAGGACAGGCTTGTCCACGCCTGTGGCAGACGGTCTCCAGGGTCCTGAGCAGCCTGGTTCCAAGAGTTTGGCCAGAGGCCGTCCCTGCCCCACCTGAGCCCCGGCCCGGGGACCCCAGGGAGCAGCCCCGGAAGGACGGAGGCCTCATGCGGGTTGAGGGAGGGCTCGTCGTGTTTTCCTAAAGTAAAATGATGGAACTCTCGTTAAGCAGCTTTTCTTGATTTTCTCCAAATTCGGCAACGTGGGCTGTCTGTAACCTTCCTCGTTGTAGGGGGTCCAGGGACTGACCCCCACCCCCACTCTGGCCGCCGCAGCCCTCACCCCCGGGCTCGGGCAGCCACACTGCCGCGTCTGCCATCGGGCTGGTGTTTCTCGACCTCTGGTCCCGGTGGCCCCGTGGGCAGGTGCCTGAGGGGACGCAGGGTGGGGAAGGACGGACGGGGAGACCAGCAGGGAGGCCGCACTGGGGCCCGAGCACCCGAGGGACGTCAGGGCCGGGCCTGCAGGGGCTCGGGAACCGCCGGGATCTGAGCGCGCGAGCTGCGGTGGGGCCGGGGCGTCCTCTGCGCCAGGGCCCGCGTCCCCGGCTCCCTGAGGCGCTGACCGCCGGCGTCGTGCGCTCGTGGTCCGGGTGCCGCCCTCGCTGCCAGGACGGTACCGGCTCCGTGGTGGCGGCAGAGCCGTGTGCCTGTCCCCTTGTCCGCGGGCGTCCCTGAGCCCAGGACAGCGGCCGGCGCCTGTGTGTCTCCTCCAGCGAACCTCTCGGACCCGGCCTCGCTGGGGGCCTGGGGGCCCCGCTCCCCCCGGACCGCAGGCCGGTGATTTCCTTTCCTGTGAGGCAACGGCCTTTTTCCCAATTAAAACGCAATCCTGGTTTTACCGTTTTTAAGTTAGAAAAGCCACGCAGAGCTGATGACGGGGCCCAGTGGGAGCCGGCGCCCGCCAGCCGCGGGGTCTCTCCCTGCGACCCCGCCAGCCCGGGGAGCCCGTCACGCCATTCACAGCGCGGGCACTGCTGTCCCGGCGCCGCGCCCCCGCCGCGCCCCGGGCCTGGTGCCACGGCGGCTCCCCTCGCTCCAGGAGGCCACCCGGCCGGGCCCACCACAGGTCTGCTTGTAGCTGGGGACACTGTCACGCCCTAGCTTCAGTTAAAGATTTTAAAAACCAACTTTGGGGGGAGTTTGAAATATACACTAAATACGTTTTTAGTAGAAGTGTGTGCTCTATGCAATATTTGGGATACACTCACACTAAAAATTGAGATGAAACTCACCTGATACAAATCATTTTAAGATGTAGGATTCAGTGGCATTTGGTGCGTTTATGCTGTGTGACCACCATCTGGATCCAGCTCCAGAACTTTCTTTCCATCACCTGCTTCATAATTAAGTCCACGGAAAGGCAGCATCTGAGAGCAGGCTCTTCGGGAGACCTGCGGGGTGGGTCTCGGCCATGCCCCCACCTTGAGGATGGTGGTCCAGGGCCCAGGGGGCAGCAGGGCCGGGGAGGATGTCCTCCAGATAGCACGGGGCAGGGGGGGGGTGCAGGGCGCTGGGCGGCGCAAGGGCCTCTCGGGGGTCCTGAGTGCCGCGGGAGTGTGTGACCCCGACTCCAGAGTCCGCTCCCTCAGATGGCCTGCCCCCCTTCATCCCTCCACTTGGGGAAGCAGGGGCCTCCCCCCACCGGCTGGTCAGCCCCCCATCACCGTGCAGCCACCCCTGGTGTTAGATACTATTTCTGTCTCCCCGGCCCATACGTCCCTCCCTGACACCACCCACCCCAGGGGAAACGGGAACCCTGACCCACGGACACCCCACTTCTGCCCAGTTCAGGACAGAAGCTTAAATAGAATGCACATCCCTTTGTAGAAATGCAGGGGTGAGGCCTGTGGGGAGCTGCTGGGGGAGTTCTCACTGAGCGCCTGGCAGCCAGCCCCTGTCCGTGGACGTGCACGTGAACTTGGCCTGCAGGCAGAGGGGCCAGCTTTGCGTGGGTTTCGGGGTTTCCTTCGGGCCGCTGGCTCCTTACAGGTCGCCTCATTACTAAATGCTGCACTGACCCCTCGGTGATGCTCATTCACCGTGTTGTGTCTGTGCAAGGTCCCGGTGACCTCCGTCCCGGCCACGCTTACCTCGATGGTGCAAGTCCCCTTCCGCGCAGATGCCAGAATCAACGCTGTGGCCCTGCCTGCCCTCCGCTCGGGGAGGCGCGGCGACCCTTCTCGTCTGGTTGGGGGGCACCCACTGCCCCGTGTGTCCCCGGGGTCGTGATACTGAATGGCCTGTCATTCCGCATGGTTCCCTTGTGACCACAGAGAACCCTCACTGGTGCTTCCGAGAAGCTGTGATTAATTTCTAGTATTAGTGGACACAGCCGACTCTTAGGAAGTGGATTAAATACTTGCTTCCCGCAGAACGTGGCAGTCTCTGGGACCCACAGGCAGAAATGATGCTCTGTGATGAAAACTTTTTTTTTTTCATTATTTTATTTGTTTGTTTGGCAGAGCAAGTGAGCAGGAGAGGGCAGTGGGGACAGAGAATCTCGGGGAGACTCCACACTCAGCACCACGTCCCTGGGACGTGACCTGAGCCAAAATCAAGGGTTGGATGGTTGATCGACTGAGCCACTCAGGAGCCCCTAAAATTTTATTTTAAAACTTACCTATTTATGACTTATGTATTCTTATTGAGGTGAAAGTCACGTAACAAAATAAACCATTTCACTGTGTGCTGAAAATTCAGGGCCCCTGGGGGCTCAGTCAGTTAAGCATCTGAGTCTTGATTTTGCCTCAGGTCATGACCTCACTGTTCGGTTTGTGAGTTCGAGCCCCATGGGGGCTGTGCGCTGACGATGCGGAGCCTCCATGGGATTCTGTCCCTCTCCTCTCTCTGCCCCGCCCCTGCTCGCGAGCACCCTTTCTCTCAAAATAAATAAATAAAGGTGTAAAGTGTGCAATTCAGAGGCAGTGAGTTCATTCGATATTGTGCAGCCGTCTTTCCTACCGATTTCCAAAAGTTCCCATCAGCCCTAAACGCAAACCCCACAACCGCTCGCCCTGGTGCCGCACCCCCCGGGTCCCCGCCAGCCGCTCTGTCTGCTCGGACTCACCTGTTCCGGACGGTCCGCATACACGGAATCAGCGCCTGGCCTCTCGCGTCGGGCTTCTTCCCACGGCGCGTCCGCGTGTGGCAGGTGTTAGGCGCACCCTTGCTGGGGCGGAGGGCTCCACGGAGCGCACACACCACACGTGTGCTCGGTTCGTCTGCTGTGGACACCCGGGGCGGGCCCGCCGCTGGCCTCTGCGCGGTGCCGGGGATATGCCGCTGCCCCTCTCCGGGGCGAGTACCCAGGCGGGGACCGCGGGGACCGTGCTCACCCCACCCCCAGTTTTCCAGGGAGCAGGAAGGTATGGGGTTCCAATTTCCCCACGTGCTCACCAACTTTTGTTGTTTTCTTTTTTCTTTTTTGTTGAACCTGTCCCTCCCCATCCATCCATCCATCTCGCCGGTTCTGCTTCCCCGGGAACGCTGACCAGTGTGACGGCGTGCTGACTCTCTGTGCCTCAGTTTCCCCATCTGTAAAGTGGGGGTTAACACTGGCACCTCCCTCAGAGGACTGCAGGGAGGGAGAGGCTCGATTCTGGCTTCGTCAGAGGTGGCAGGGGGCTGCCTCACGCCGGTGGGGGGTTCCCGTGTTTCCAGCAATTGGTCCCTTTAACCCGCGTTGTCACAGTTCAGAGCAGACCCGCCCGCGGCTGCCGACCCTTCCACTGCCCTGGGGCCTCTCCTCCGTGAGCTTGGGGTCGCTCTCCCCCTGCCGGCCTGGGCGCCAGTGTGGCCCAGCGCCCGGCCCGCGGCCTCCGTCCAGGGGCCCCCCTGCCACCCTGCAGCCACACGGACCCCGGGGTCACGGCCCCCGAATGCTGCCCTCGCCCGTGTGCAGGGCAGCAGCCATTCGTTCCTCTCGGGGGGACTCGGCCTGCTCTGCGGAGGAGACCCGCTGCCCTTACGGCCCCTCCCCCTGCGGCCTCTGGAACTTCATCACCGTCTGTGCTGCTGCTCAGGTGGTAAGAGAAAGTCTCTAATCACCGTGAGAGCCGAGCGTTTTCCTAAGTCGTGGGCTCGGTTCTGCTGGGCCTCCCGGTTTCCCCTGCGAGACTGAAGGCTCAGCCTCCTGTTCGCTTGTGTGTTTCACTCTGGAATCTGTGGTTTTCGCCTCGTTCCTCAGTTCTCCCTTCTAATTTCTAAGCTCTTCTTAAAAGCTGAAAATAAAATATAATAAAATAAATTTGTTGTCTTCTTAAGTTCTTCTCAGGCGAAGCACGCACAGATTTCCTTCTGTTCTTCGGGTTATTTTATTCCGGAATGTTTTCT